GAGAGAGAGGATTGAAAAGCGTCCAAGGAAACCGCACGCGCCTGATAAAATTCGCCGGAATATATTTATAACCGGCGATATTGCTATCGCCTTCGCGGAGAATCATCCTCCGTGTGTGCATCTTGTGTAAACGCGCACGCAATGTTGCACCGCTCACCGCTGTATTAATAAACGTAACGACGGGCCTCGCCGCGGAATATATCGCGCGGGCTCGCACGGAGAAATTAAGTCGACTTAATCTCGGATAATCGTACGCCCCGTTTCTTTATCTGCCTTCACGCGTTTGTCCGCTCGCAACTTGTTATTGATATTATTGTTCTTATGTAAAACGAGCTTCAGAGGACGCTTTCTCGAGACGAGAGAGAGAGAGAGAGAGAGAGAGAGAGGGGGGGGGGGAGGGAGAGGGAGAATGCGCACTCGAAACTAAAATGTTCACGATCCACGTTCCATCTGTGAAAACAGATATTCTCGGTTTCTTACGAGGGACGCGCGCTCCTTAATCCTTTTTATTAAAATCCGTCAGACTCGCGAGTGGGAAGAAACTAGAAATTCCAACGGGCTTCGATAATCTTGGGATCGCGTGGCGTCGCGAGATGGTACATTTTCCCGACATCGGCGGAAGATGACGCACGCCCTCCCTCCATATTTTAAGTATGTGGGTTTTCGACATGAGCCATTATAAGTTCGAAGACGTGCGCGCGAGGCGTGTGCACGGTAGACGGAGAAAGAAAAGACCGAGGAGGAGGAGGAGGAGGAGGAGGAGGAGGAAAAAGCGATGGTGGTAGTGGTTGTGGTGGTGGTGTATATACGGGAGTGAGAAAAAACGGAGAAAGAGAGAGAGACAGAGCGAGAGGCAGGTGCATCACGGTGACACTCCCTCGATAATTCTCCGGAGAGAGAAAGAGAAAGAAGGAGGGAAGAGAGGAAGACGGAGGTAGCCGCGTTCGCTGGAGAAAGAAAAAGAGAGGAGGACCTAAGTCACGAGTGTTGTGTCTGGAGCTCGTTTATGGTCGTTCGCTTAAACTCTCGCTCCGAGGAAGGCGAGTTTCGAAAATGGCGCCGTGGGCTTCGGCGGATCCCGACCGGGATATGTTCCTCTCGCCCGAGCGAGCCAATGTATGCGATGATACGCGAGATATTTCGCGATCGCGAACAAAGTTTCGAAAACGCCGCTGAAAGTTTCGACGGACCTCGCGCGCGGAATAACGCGCGTTCGGTAGGGTCGACCTTACTACACGCGCGGCGAGTAACGCGCGAATCTAACAAGAGGCAACAGCGCGCTCTCTTCCGCGCTCGACGCGCGTAAGATAAAAGGCCGTTTCCTCGCTGGCGTATGCTAGCGAGCAAATTATTCGTCGGCTAGAAAAAAATCAGAGTCCACATCTGAAAACGCAACCGAAGCACACTCGATCTGCCGCGCCGCGCCGCGCCGAATGATGCTTATTCGCCGCCACACGCGAATCACGGTGTGTGTTTGTTAAACTATATTTTATCGTGCTCGCTACTTCCTGAAACAAACTCCGCGCGTCCAGGTAGATTTACTCGTGAGTCACCGTGCGATAATTTTAGAACCGATCGCCCGGCTACGTTCGACCTGTGTTTTCGCCGGCGCATTACGCGTAATTTCAATCAGATTATTTTCACGCGGCCGCGAATGTTTACCTTTCGCCGATGGATTCTCCAGGATGCATCATCCGCCAGCGGCGAGATGCAACACGGAATAATTTCCGAAACCGCCCGTCGCCGTTTGACGTCGCGACGCCGCCGGTGTATTATGAAAACGCGCGCGCGTGCGCGCGCGGACTGTAAAATATGTATATTCGGTCGTTACGACCGCCTCTATTCCAGTCCGTTCATCAGCTCGTTACTACGGCACGCTGAGCATTCGGAAAAATACAAAAGAAAAGGACGAAAAACGAATTACTTTTCGACCGATAGGGAGCAATCACGCGCGAGACACCGAGCGAGAAAGCTGGAAGGCTCGCTGTAACGAACCTCTTCGGACGAGAAAGGATTAAAAGCGGACACCGGAAGTATTTTCGGTAAGTAGGGTGGATGCTATTCTCGGATACCCTTGCACTTGAACCGACGCACCCTCGACTCTAGGACACTCGGAGATCGAGCGCAAGGGATGTTATATTAGGCGTCTTGATTTCGAGTACAGCGTAGAAGCAGTGCCGCCATTAACTATACAAACGACAAATGACGATGTGACAGGTAACAATTTGTCGTTTATATCGCATTTCACGCATTTCTGTGATTAATCATTTCCGTAAGCATAAAGTATTATCAATAGATATAACTCGGCGATGATCGCTAACATAGATTGGCTCCTATTACGGTTTGTATTTCTGTTCGCTCGTCTGTTCGTTCTGTCCAGCTCGCGCATCAGCCAGTTCTCCTCTGCGTTTTGCGATCGGACCGAGCTGTTTGGAAAATAGCGAATAGAGTAACCGTGAATTGTGGAGGCTCGCGACCGTCGTGTAATGCGGCTCGCAAAGTAATACGAGCCTTAATAAACTCCTCAGCGCGAAACGCGACAATCGTCGAGATTAACGGGCCGAAACGAATCGTCCACTGTCTCATAGTTATCAAATTATGGGGAAAGAAGACTCGGCGAATCTGAGTCGCGGTATAAACATTTAAATGTTTCAAACGAACCAGCTCGATCGTGACGCACGAGAGCGAGAGCATTTGACGATTCGACGTGTGTATCGACAGTGCGCGCAGAGCGATATGCGTTTCATACATTTCTCTCGGCTCAGCGGTGTTATTTGACACGGAGCGGAATAATTAACTCGAGATTAATAATCTCGAGATACTCGATGAGAGATCGATGATCGGGCTAATCGTGTGTAAACAGCTGGCCGTTTTTCAACGCTTCGGAAGAGATCAGATGAGGGATATATAGACGAGGGATCCTATAGAACTCGAGAAACGTCGCTGTGAAAACTCGGAGCTACACGAAACATCGCGGTCCCGCTCGCCGACTTATTCGTCGCTCTAGGAAGTTTTATGAGCGACGCATTGCCGCAATATAAATTATATTTAACCGAATAGCTCCGCGGCCTACACAACTCCCGCAGCGTTTCAAAGGGAACATGGGAACGCTTCGGACGAGCCGTCTGAAAGGCCGTTTTTGCGGTCTCCGAGCTGTGCTCGGCTGCGCCGAACTTAGCCTACGAGAGGGCTAACACAGCACCGTCGTCTTACAAACAACGTCTCAAACCAAACAAACGTTTGAGACTCAGTTACCAACTATGCCGCAGCGGACTGCCGCGCAAATACACCTCTCTCGCGCGCGCTCTCCGCTGAATCGTAATTTCGAGCCGCTTTGTACGTCGGGTACGACGCGCGATAATTAGCACAGAAATTATCTCGCGGATCTTTAGAGACAAACCGCAGCTCTGAGAGAGAGAGAGAGAGAGAGAGAGAGAGAGAAGCGTACCGCGGAGTACGCGGCGATAATTTCACGTTACCCAAACACATGCGACACACGTAGAGGCAGATCGTCGAGAAACCTCGTGGATTCTAATCATCGTATCATCGGGTCGTTCCCCAATTAAAATTCTAATCGATCGGAAGGTGCGAGCCGCGGTCGCGCGGTGAAGGGAAAGCGGGACACTCCAAAAACTAGCGGGACTTTGAAACTCGAACTGTGTTAACACGTGCCGCGGCGATCGAAAATCCGTGGAGAATGAGAACCTCTTTGCGAGAGGTAACGCACGACTTCGCGGCACGCAACGGCGCATCGCTCCGTGGCTGCTCCTCTGGCAGGTGTATGAAGCGAGAAATAAAAGAAAAACGGCGCCCGCGGAGGCTGACTGCCGAGAGGGAGACGAAGAGAGAAAGAAACAGCGAGAGAGCGAGAGAGAGAGAGAGAGAGAACAGGCTTGAGAAAGAGAGAGAAAAAAGATTCGATTTATGGACTCTTGCATTACATCCGAACGATTAACCACTAACGATTTCGTACCGTCGCCGCCACGGCACGTGGTGCAGACATACGCGAGAGCGGAAAATCAAGCCGATCATCGCTCTCTCCAGCAGCGATCTATCGACGAGAGCGACGTCGCGGCGGCGTTCGTCTTTCTCTCCCTATAGCGCAAGCTTCCCTATCGCGGCGCTCACCCTCGCATACACACGTCGTCCACTCGCTCTCCAGCCACATCTACGCACACGCGCATGCACACGGCCATACACACGCACGCAACACCATCGCTCGATCGTCCACACTGTTGCACATGACAGCGGCGGACGTCTCTGTAAACGTGTCTAGGTTATGTCATTCGTACTCCAGCACGGTGCACGCAGGCAGCGAGCTCTCCCGCCGACGCCGACGCCGACGCCGACGCCGACGCAACGACGCAACGACGGAGAGAAAATCGTCAACAACGACGACGACGACGACAATGATAATAATGACAATGACGACGACGATGACGTCATTGACAACAATGACAGTGGCAACAACAGCTACAATGTCGATGTCGATGTCGATGTCGACATCGACGACGACGACGACTACGACGACGACGACGACGAGGATAACGAGGAGAACACAGGGAACACGAGGCAGAGACGTTGCTCTCGCGTTAGTCGTCGCCGTCGACGGGGCAGCACTGTCCAGGGCACTGACAAGCGAACCAAAACACAGACAGCGGGCGCAGAGTAACCGAGGCGGCCGACGGAGATGATCGTCGAACGCGCGACTCCTCGCCGTGCCTTCGCAGGCGTTCGATCGCAGGCGAACGACGGCGAGAGACAAACGCGAACGGCAAACCTCTTGGCGTCTCGGGGCACTCTGCGAACACGCGTGCACGGCCTTTAAATATACGCACACCGCTCCGGGTAATACACTAGACACACCAGAGGGAGAAGGCAGAGAGTGGGACAGAGACAGAGATGTCCGTCGCTTTATTTTCCACAGGAGCCACGCACGGCGCACGGTCGCGATATCTCGTATGCGCGAGAGACACGGCACTTGGACGTCGCACACTCACCAGGCTGCTTGTTGGCGATCTTATTGAAGCAGTTCTGAAAGACCTCGTAGAGATGCATCGGCTCATCGTCGCTGGCCGCCATGTTTTCGCACGAGACGTGAAAACGAGTGGACGTTCGTGGTCGAGGCGAATGGGCACGGTTTCGCGGTGCGGCCGCGCGCGGAGCCACCCTCCTCCCGCTACGGTCACCCACACTACTGAAGTGTACCGCTTCATGGACGCGGCTCTTATATCACGCAAGTGGCTCCACCGTGCGTTCGCACCGAAGCGCCGCCGCCGACGCGCGCGATCTTCGATTCAGCGCGAATCTAAGCCGCGCGCGACCTTCGGTAAACCGTAAACACAACAGTCGCCCCGAGCGCGGGTTTGCCGGTTAGGTGTGTCTCTTTGTTTTCATTTTGATATTCTCGCGTCGAAAATATGTATGTTTTCGCACGTCGTAATGTGGGGAGAATTGTGTTTGATTGTCCGGCGTGTCGTGTCTCGAATGTATATGAGAGAGATTAATCGTCAATGTATCTTTTAGCTTCTAACGTCATCTGTACTTTACTCGAAGGAAGTTGAGATTTTCCTCTCTCTCTCTCTCTCTCTCTCTCTCTCTCTCTCTCTCTCTCTCTCTCTCTCTCTCTCTCTCTCTCTCTCTCTCTGTGTGCTGTGTGTGTGTATAAGGGCCAATTATATCGATATTTCATAAATAACCTTAATTATAAAGCGTTGATATGTATCTGAATGTATGATGCTGTAACAATAAAATTGTCTCTGCTATATTAATTACTAACCGGTTTCTTTCTTCATGAATTGGAGATTGAAAATGTACTCATTAAGACTGTCAACTTGCAAGACTCGCGTAAGATGCTTCGCTCGATATTCTCTCGGTGGGCTACTTCTCAAAATATCCGTTTATACGACGATTTATCACACAGACACTCCCGATGATAATTCACACGCGAGATAATTTTCCGCGACGTGAAACGTCGCGCTTGAACTACAAGCTGTCGACATAAAATGGCGTGAGGATCGCATGCTATCTCATTCGATTACCGATTGACCGTTCCGCGAAGTGCACACTTGTCGTCGTGTACATTGAACGACGATTCATCACGACAAACGCACGATACTCACTTTCGGCACTTCTCACGGCATTCGGTCGCGCGAGATTCCTTCGATTGATCGGCAACATGAAATGTCGCCGTTTGAACTGCGTTTGAACGTTCCACCATGACGTGACGATCGGGCGACATTTCACTCGGCATTGTCGTACAGTCGGATTCGCGCTGGTACTCATTTTAGATGGCTGTCTAACGAGGCTTCGTCACGACGAGCGCGTGAGACGAGCATTTTTGGTACTACTGACGAGGATAACCCGCGAACGAGATTCATCTTCGTTTAACTAGACTCGCAGAGCTTCTATCTTCTAACACGAACTGTCGCACTACGACCCATTCCATAACCGAGTAGACTCGCGACGATTGAGTTTCTCGAAATATCACGATACGCGCAACACTTCACTCGGTACACTCCTGGCAAATCGTTGCGACCGTTACAGAGTACTTTATTGGAATCTTGCCTAGCCATGTTTCGCTATGATAGGCACGCGAAACTTACCGTTGGCATTTCCAGCGATAATGCCTGCTTGAGACTCTTTCTTTTTGAGACCGAGCCCGAAATATAAAACACAGCGACTTGGTGATGTCGAGACCATCGCGCAATGGGCGCATAGAGCAGTGTGTTTCACCTGGCATCCGCAACGGCCCGTTCTGAAATATATACATTTTCGGCGGCCATCCGGCGATATCCTTACGCGGGAAACGCGCGATTATTACTTTCGGCACTCCCGACGATACGACGATACGAATACGAAATTTACTTCAGATTAACCGAAATCGCACCGAAATCGAGATGGAGGACGGTCTAACCAACGTTACGCGCCACGACCCGTCTCGTCTAACCGACTGAGATCGCGCTTTTCAAAGTATCTACTCCACGTACAGAAGGTGTAACAGAGTGCAGGTTGGAAAAAACAACCAACAATTTATATACCAAAAATTTTAAAATCCAAGATACAAACGGTGTCTAAGATGGACTTAATGTGGCAAATATTGCAATAGACAATGTCAATAAAGAATCATTAATGATCACGCACGACTATCTCTACACCGACTATTTGAATGATTGCTGCTACAATCCACCAATCACGAGTATCGCCTGATTGTTTGAATGCAGCTTAGCGTAGTTTGAGTCGCAATCGCGATGCATTCTTCGTATCTTTTCGACTATAAAATGAGACTATAATAATATCGAAAATAAATTTCGTGCGCGAACAAGTGACGAGCGGTCGTTTTAGCGCGGGTTTTAGACACGAGCAAGTACGCGATATGCTACTGTCGTTGTGAATCGTCAAGCTGACAAGTCGCGTCAGCTTGACTGACTTTCGCTTTGAGATTCACGTAGCACGGCCATAACGGTTTTCCGATATGATCGCGAAGAACAACTTTTCCACTGGAATAGCATTTCCACAATGACAAGGTGCGTATGTGCGTGTCACTAGAAAATATTTTATTCACAAATATAGAAACATACTTGTATATAGATATAGATTCTGAATATTTTACAAATGTTAGGTACACATATATCGAGCTACGTAAAACTTTCTTGAGATTCGAATCGTAAGGCTCGGTTAATTAACTAATGACTAAATAGACGATTGAAGCAGTACGATTCAAACATTCTTATTTGATTAAAGTAGCTTATGCCTTTGTAACATTATTATATATATATATGTGACTCTGTCGAGGTAACATACGAAAATATATATAAATTAGGTCGCTTCAACCAAAATATAGATATTTAACATTAATCAATAAAAATATAATTTCATTTTATCATATGTAATATTGTAATGTTTAAGTTCATATAATTAATAAATAATCTTACGAAACGCTATTTAAAATATGTTACAGAGATGTATATTATACGGATGCATATTTAGAATCGTTACTCTTCATCAGCCATATTCAGGATCAACTCTTAAACTCCATCAAAGTCAGCATTTTGTGGAACAGGATGAGATATCTCCTCATAATCCTGCCGGCCAAAACCTGTAAGTGATTCAGATAAATTAATATATATTTTAATTTGCATAACAAAAACTAACTATGATGCTGATGAAATTGATACACAAAATGCTAGAATTTCATGCTACATAAATTCAGGCCAAAAGCACCGATCTTGAGAAAAGACTGGCTACATGGCTGGATACACAGAAACCTAGATAACTAACATATGGTCGTTTGATTATCAAATAGCCAAAATAATTCACATTAAAGCATGAAACTACTGCACACACACACACATACTTAATAAATCAGATCTTGAAGAAGCAATGTACTACAAAGCGTAGATGTGATGAAGTGTAGATATCCAGTGATTTACTGACCCATGGCAGGACTCGGTGCAAATACTGTGGCTAAAGAACCACCTCTTCCTTGACCTATTCGTAGCAGATATATACTCGTGATAGGACGGGCAATCAAATTTATGATTAGAAAAGATGCACTGAACGTATCAAATGGATCTGCAAATTGGTACAAATAGACAGATATAGCAAATCATTAAATTATATGTTATATTCCATTTTATTCTTTTTTCTTATTTAAGAAAAATTATAAGGGAAATACATATTTACCATATGTTGGATAGTAAACTGATAAAGTGATCACATCAAAGAATATAGCAAACACATTTATGAAAAGAGCCTATAAAAGATATTATTACAATAGATAGTTCAAAATAATTTTAATAATTTTAATAAGTTTTTGATTGTCTCCATATATTGGATAACTTACAAATTGAAGTGGTTCATCTGATTCCGTATTATGAATAGCCCACAGTATACAAATAAAAAATAGCAAATTGTAGAACATTATAGATTTTGGACACCAATCTCTTCTTCCCTGCATTCCCCTGTAAAGTATTATCTCTTTACAGTTATATTAAAAATTATAATTTATGTTCAGGAAATACAAATTCTAAATCCATTTTACCATCATCAGTTGTTCTTACCATGTTACAAGTACCAGGTGAATTGTGAATATGACCTAGAAGAGTTTAATTAAATTAATAAAAGATACCATCACAATTCGAAAAGTTAATTAAAAATTGATTTATTTATATATAAATTCAATGAATAAAGAAAATGTTCGCGATAGATTTACAAGGCGTAAATCTACTTAATTACACAAATAAAATATTTATGGTGTAGACTAGTGACATAGTGTGTATGGCAGAATGACGTTAGTAGGAGATTAATACTTCATTTACATACCTTCAAGGAAAGATGAGATAAATTGGTTATATTAGGCATTTTGATTGCGTGACAATACCTACAGTACTAATAATGATAAAGCAATGGTTGATTAAATGAAACGCGATTACAAGATATCTCTGGCTGACAGGATCTGGCTGACAGGATCACTATCTAATCTTTCTCCGCCTATAACTTTAATTCGACAACACACGAAGCACGTATATTACGTCCGTCAGCTGTGTAACAGCGCCTTTTACGTTTGCTGCCATCTGACTCAGTCCCACCAAACTGTCATAAAATTAGAAACTAACCTCGCAACTGTCCAATCAATATCGTTATCATATTTATTGATATATATAACACATGTTTAATCTATTCTTTTAAACAAGGCTTAATGTTTGTGAATTCACCTTTAATGAATCTATATGTACCACACTCGAACAACATATTCTAATCGTTCCAAATGCTTCAACGCTTTGGAAACTATGCGAATTCTCTCTGTGGAAAAGAAAACCATATTAAAAGATAATAGAAGATGAAGGAAACATAGCAAATGTTAAACGATAATCAAAAAATTATATTTTTTTACAATCCAGTAAATATGTTTTACGAAATGTAATTGGTCCGTTCTTTTTAGTTGCACTATTGAACTGATGCAATAAGTTAAAGTGAAAAAAAATATAGTTGTCTCATTCTAACTTATTGCACTAGTTCCGCAGTGCAGCTAAAAAGGACAGACCATTTAACATTGTGTTTATGTTATACTTTTGCCAGAGAGAAGAATGAGAGCGGCCACCGGCCGTATTTCGGGGGATACGGCTAGGCGCATTTTAGATGCGCCATCTGACCAAAATACGCCTAAACTACGTCCGCTAGGCGCACTTTCGCGGTGATAAAAGTAAAATGCGCCTAGGTTCGTGTCCGTACTACTTCCATGCAATGGATAGTAGATTAGAAAAAGACAGACGACAGACAATCGTTCCGTCTTTGTCTCACTACTGAGCGGTGCGCGGCAGTAAACACGAGGCGAGGTAGCGGCGATCTTATCGCTAAGCGAACATCTCTCCGCTTTTCTTTCATCTTTCCAGAGACATCAAAAGACGCGGTAGCGTCTCGTGTCAAGGGAACATGCGAAGCGAGGAATTATTTTTCACGCACGCGAGGTAGCACATTGGAAACTAGACGTGCGTCGACATATTATCTGTTTCTTTCCCGCTCGTCTAGCTTATTGACTGCGTGAGCCGCGAAATTTTTCTCGCTACTCCTATACCTCGCTCTTTCTCTCTCTCTCTCGCTCGTTCTTTCTCTCTCTCGCGCACTTGCTCGCTCTTCCTCTCTTCTCGTGTTCTTACGGCTTGATTAAATATATTAATTACATGAGAATATATATATATATATGTGTATATATATAAATAAATGACACATATATATAGTGTATATGTATATAAAAAATATTTAGCATTAATGCACAAATAAAGAAGAGAATTATAATGAGACGAAAAGTTAATAGAAATCCACTCTTAGCCAATATATACATCTTTTAAAAATGATTTGTTATTAAAGTATATGACAGAATAATTTATTTATGCTAATAAATTTAAATTAAAAATTAAATGAAATGTTATTTGTTTTGTAAAAGATATTCCATTGTTACATTTTTCTTTTCGTAGCAAAAATAAATTTAGTCTAGTAAAAGAAGAAATTAGTTTTATTATCATATTTCAATTACGACTTTATTATTTAATTTTACGAATAGATAACGTGCATATTGTTGCTCAACGGAAACCGCGAGAAAATGGTGATCTCCGTCAAAAAATAAATGCAAACTTTTTAATAATATAATAATTTTTTTACGTAAGTGTTTGTTTTTATAGTATAACCTGTTGAATTTTATTAATTATTAATTCAGCATGTTATAGTATAAAAAATATATTTTAATATAAAAATTAATGTAATATTAATTGTTTGCATTTGCAAGAAATATGGATAGAACAGGATAGGTTGCAATGATACATAGGAAGAAAAAAGATAGATGGATAAATAGATAGATAGATAGATATAGAGATAGATATAGATGGATAAATAGATAGACAGATCGATGGATAGATAGATAAATAGATAGATGGATAGATAGATATAGAGAAATAGATAGATAGATAGTTAGATAGTATAGAAAAAAAGATAAATAGAAATATAATTATCATTATTATTATTATTAATGTTTTCAGTTTTGTTCGCTCCTTGGCGAAGCGAACAAGAGGCCGGGACGGCTCAGCAATGAGCGCGGGGTTGGTCGTGAAAGGAAGATGATCGTCGCTTTGGTTTCTCGTGGGATCGGTCCTCCGTTTCCTTCCGAATAAGCGTCGACGTTCGTCGAGGCGCTGGGAGGCCAATGCTCGCCAGTTCAAGCGCGAGCACCACTCGAACACGATCCCAGTTTTATTATATAAAATAATACAAAATAAACTTTGACAATTCTGGTCGATTGATCGTATGAAGCGCGTCCGCTCGAATCGCAATGCGTTGAGGCCGCACTCGTAGTTCGTCTGATGAGGTCCGACCGGAGCGGTCGGGCAGCGAATTCGATAACCGAACGAACAACGGAGCGAAACGAGTTGTAAAAATACTTGCGAGCGGTTTCGCTTGAAGAAAGATTCTGTTCGAAGCGAGGAGCCGAAAAACGTTCGTCACTTCGATCTTACATTGTTTTTAGTTTTTTCCGTCGCTCGGAGAAGATTGGTAACCGCTCTTGTCGAAAACGCGACCATATTTGGCGGTCACATGCGGACCAAACGTGACAATAACAACGCGGTGCTCGTTAGCAAACATGCACGGCGTTCTCACGTGCGAGTCATGCAGGATGTCTCGTGATATCGAGAATCCTCGATTTTGTCGACACAAAGAGCGGCGCCTTGGACGGATCGCAAACAAGTTTCAAGAGAACATTCGCTTAAACGTAAGTCTTACTTAAGTTCAGTTTCACGACTTATATTATATTAACCGGAATATATTATACGACTTATATTATATTAACCGGAATATATTATACGATTTATATTATTTTAACCGGAATATAATTCGTTAATATTAGAAGTACCGAGCGGTTATTTCTGATCGTTTCTATTTTTTAGATTAATATCCTGTTTCTTTAAGATTACAGGATTTTTGTTTCGAGCGTTTGTTTAATGTGATGTTTGTAAAGAATGTATATAAATTTCTACATATAAGATTAAAAATATGAAAAATATTGCAGTGAAAGCAAGGAGGTTCCACGGTGCGCACGATATCTCAATAACTATTTGACCAATTGACTTGCAACTTGGCAGCATTATAAAATAGACTTCTCTTTATCGTTTTAACTAAAATTAACCAAATTCATTAATAATTAATATTTTTTATTAAACTTTACCGAGAGGCCAGAAATAGACGATTTTTGTTCTAAATGCTACCATGTTATTATTTGTGTTCCGATTGTAGTTCAGACGATAGCTATACTTATAGAAAATAAAAAGCTACTTTAAATAATTGTGTAAAATTAAATCACACACATTTAGAAATTCCTTGGGATCGTCTATTTGCAACCTCTTTGCTTTTACTGCAATATTTTATATATTTTTAAACTTACATACTTGTAGAAAAATGTATATATATTCTTCAAACATCATTAAGCAAACTCTCAAAACCCGTAATCTTTTAATCATGTGATCTTTTTCGCTTCCGCAAAAAAAATTAACGAAATATACGTATTTTTTGTCGGGTTCAATAAGACAACTCTTTAAAAGCCTATCTCAACAAAATTACATAATCGCATCATTGATGTGCACAAGGAAATCAACCAATCATAATCCGTACAAGCGTGCCTTTTATATTAGACATATTTTACATTTAATTAATCTGTTTCCTTCTCTAGAACAAATAATCATCAAAGGTCAAGATAACGTCAAAATTATTTTAACTTAATTTTGACATCATCTTCACTTTTATATAATTATTTGTTCTACTTCAGTTATGCATATGAACAATATGACTATGCAAGTTTGTCTCAATAAGTCTTAAACTCCGGTTAAAATAAATTATGAAACTAAATCTTAGCGTTTTTCAATCATCGGCATCTTTCACGATGTTACGATTATAAATATTATCTATATAACCAATTGTAACCTACACAACGGAACGCTCTTCGATTGAACCGATTGAAATTGCTCATATCAATTATCAATGATATATGGCCTTTCATTACATTCTCTAAGTTTCAATTGTTAATTGAACAATTCCTTTCGCAAGTCAAAGATTAACATGCTGATTTGAAACATAATGCAAAAAGCTCGAAAATAAATGCGAAGCAGAAAAGAGATTAACAATGAATGATTATTATTTAATATGCAACTGACATTAACATGGAATGTCTAATTGACTTAATGTCTCGAAGCTACTGAATATGAATTTATGCTCAAATCTCTTCCTTTCTGTAGGAGGTTTTTGGCTGTTTCGATTACTTTCCTCTACATTTATATTGATGAGTTGAAGCACTTGTTTCTACGAGATGTTTAAAACTCGGCTGACTTTACGAGTGTTAACACTCGTAACTGGACCTAAGTAAGACTTACGTTTAAGCGAATGTTCTCTTGAAACTGAAAACATTAATAATAATAATAATGATAATTATATTTCTATTTATCTTTTTTTCTATACTATCTAACTATCTATCTATCTATTTCTCTATATCTATCTATCCATCTATCTATTTATCTATCTATCCATCGATCTGTCTATCTATTTATCCATCTATATCTATCTCTATATCTATCTATCTATCCATCTATCTTTTTTCTTCCTATGTATCATTGCAACCTATCCTGTTCTATCCATATTTCTTGCAAATGCAAACAATTAATATTACATTAATTTTTATATTAAAATATATTTTTTATACTATAACATGCTGAATTAATAATTAATAAAATTCAACAGGTTATACTATAAAAACAAACACTTACGTAAAAAAATTATTATATTATTAAAAAGTTTGCATTTATTTTTTGACGGAGATCACCATTTTCTCGCGGTTTCCGTTGAGCAACAATATGCACGTTATCTATTCGTAAAATTAAATAATAAAGTCGTAATTGAAATATGATAATAAAACTAATTTCTTCTTTTACTAGACTAAATTTATTTTTGCTACGAAAAGAAAAATGTAACAATGGAATATCTTTTACAAAACAAATAACATTTCATTTAATTTTTAATTTAAATTTATTAGCATAAATAAATTATTCTGTCATATACTTTAATAACAAATCATTTTTAAAAGATGTATATATTGGCTAAGAGTGGATTTCTATTAACTTTTCGTCTCATTATAATTCTCTTCTTTATTTGTGCATTAATGCTAAATATTCTTTATATACATATACACTATATATGTGTCATTTATTTATATATATATATTGTCATGTAATTATATTATATATTTAACCAAGCCGTAAGAACACGAGAAGAGAGGAAGAGCGAACAAGTGCGCGAGAGAGAGAAAGAACGAGTGAGAGAGAGAGAGAGAAAGAGGGAGGTATAGGAGTAGCGAGAAAAATCTCGCGACTCACGCAGTCAATAAGCTAGACGAGCGGGAAAGAAACAGATAATATGTCGACGCTCGTCTAGTCTCCCATGTGCTACCTCGCGTGCGTGAAAAATAATTCCTCGCTTCGCACGTTCCCTTGACACGAGACGCTACCGCGTCTTTTGATGTCTCTGGAGCGTGAAAGATGAAAGAAAAGCGGAGAGATGTTCGCTTAGCGATAAGATCGCCGCTACCTCGCCTCGTGTTTACTGCCGCGCACCGCTCAGTAGTGAGACAAAGACGGAACGATTGTCTGTCGTCTGTCTTTTTCTAATCTACTATCCATTGCATGGAAGTAGTACGGACACGAACCTAGGCGCATTTTACTTTTATCACCGTGAAAGTGCTCCTAGCGGACGTAGTTTAGGCGCATTTTGGTCAGATGGCGTATCTAAAATGCGCCTAGCCGTATCCCCCGAAATACGGCCGGTGGCCGCTTTCATTCTTCTCTCTGCTTTTGCACCATGCTTTAATACTTAACTTCATGTATAACAGCCCTTAATGTATGCTATAGTACAAAGTCACAGATGCTCGCGGAGGAACACGTTTTCATTGTTATCAGCTGCTGTCGATTGTCGACCATTCCTCATTGTATTTTGTTATATTAGTTAAAATCATTTATAAACAATGTTACACACAAGTCGTCACATACTGAGACATTTTCGGCCCTTTGTAAGATTTTATCACGAAGAGGCCTCTGTTATTGGTACTGCACCCGATACCAGTTCAACAGTTTATCAGGTTAGAAAGTGTACTTTTGTAAATCCACTATGCTTGTGTAATTTTTATATATTACCGTTTTTTCAAAGAGTGAAGAAAAAGAAAACTTGGATTATAAAGAAATTATATATAAAGCCAAGTCAGATGTTGTTCAGTATCTGATATTGTTATAAATATAGTTTATATAAGTTATAAATTTCTTTAAACATATTTTAGGATATAAATATAACCTACTGGTTGTTTATTAATGTTCTGAGCACATAAATATGTTTAAAATTATAGGAGAATTATGCACAGATGAAAACTCTTGTTGATCAATTGAAAACTACCGTGGAAAAGATAGTTGAAGGCGGAAGCCAGAAAGCTAGGGAAAGGCATGTAAGCAGAGGAAAGCTTTTACCCCGTGAAAGAGTGAACACTCTGTTAGATAGAAATTCACCTTTTCTAGAGCTTTCTCAGTTGGCTGGATATAAGATGTATGATAAAGAAGAAGTACCAGCTGGTGGAATTATTACCGGTATTGGCAGAGTAGAAGGGTAATTTGTTATTTGTAAGGATATTAAAATATATATTACAATTCTCCTCATAGCATCTTTTCTTTATCAGAGATCTTACTTTACAGTATTGAATGTATGATAATAACAAATGATACTACAGTAAAAGCTGGTACTTTCTATCCTATTACGGTCAAGAAATATTTACGAGCTCAAGAGATTGCAGAAGAAAATAGATTATCTTGCATATATCTAGTCGATAGCGGAGGTGCAAATTTGCTTAGGCAAGCTGATGTATTCTCTGACAAAATGCATTTTGGTAGATCTTTTTACAATCAAGCAAATATGAGTGCCAAAGGAATAGCGCAGATTTCAGTGGTTTTAGGAAGTTGCACAGCAGGTTTGTTATAATTCTATATATTTATCAATTTTTTCCAATGTATATTTCACTTGTAGATATTTATATCTCTTGTATTATGATTTTGTAGGTGGTGCATATGTTCCTGCTATGTCAGATGAAAACATTATTGTTGGCAATCAAGGTACGATATTTCTGGCTGGTCCTCCATTGGTAAAAGCTTCGACTGGCGAAGAGGTTTCGGCGGAAGACTTAGGTGGTGCTGCTCTTCACTGTCGGTAATTATCTTAAATTGCTATTATATTGGTGCATAATAAGTGCAGATTATATATTATAAATTAGTACCCATTTATAGTTTTTAAATTTCAGGGTATCCGGCGTCACCGACCATTATGCAATAGACGATACGCATGCCTTACACTTAGCACGTCGAGTTGTAAAAAATTTAAACTTGAATCCGCCTATGGACGTAAAAATCAGTAAAAATATAGAGGCACCTCTGCACGCTGTTGATGAGATATACGGAATCGTCGGAACAAATCTGAAACGCCCGTTCGATGTGAAGGAAGTCATTGCGAGAATCGTAGACGGATCTAAATTCCACGAATTTAAAGCACAGTACGGCGAGACCTTGGTCACAGGATTTGCCAGGATTTACGGTTATCCCGTAGGCATACTCGCGAACAACGGTGTCTTGTTCTCCGAGAGTGCTTTAAAGGGGACTCATTTTATACAGTTGTGCTCACAAAGAAAAATTCCTCTCGTGTTTCTACAAAATATCACAGGTACGATTATAAAATTAGTCGTACATTATTCCTCTCTGATTTCCGTAATGCGATATGCAATCATATGAAATTATCGATATAGGATTTATGGTGGGTAGGGATGCAGAATTAGGAGGTATCGCGAAGAATGGTGCAAAAATGGTAACAGCTGTGGCCTGTGCTCAAGTGCCGAAAATGACAGTAATAATAGGCGGCTCCTACGGAGCTGGAAACTACGGTATTTTGTTTTGCTATCTTGATATTTTATTCTCGAAAAAGGTTGAAGTTATTTGATTTTGTATCAAAGGAATGTGTGGCCGGTCTTATTCCCCACGATTTCTTTACTCCTGGCCGAACGCTAGAATATCGGTGATGGGAGGTGAACAGGCGGCTGGTGTATTAGCACAAATTGCAAAAGAACAAAGTATAAAGGAAGGCAAAACGGTATGGCTCGATTGTTCATGTTGTTAGTATACAACCAAATTTAGTATAAAACCAATGTACTTTTCAATTTTGCAGTGGACTCAGGAGCAGGAAGACAACATAAAAAATCCCATCATAAAACAATTCGAAGAGGAAGGCAATCCGTACTATTCTAGTGCTAGGTAGATTTTCGCACTAGGTAAATCTACTTTTACATAAAAATATTCCAACATATTCTTTTATAGGCTTTGGGACGATGGTGTGATTGATCCTGCTGACACGCGAGTTGCCCTCGGTTTGAGTTTGTCCGCAAGTCTAAACGCACCTATACCCGACACTAAATTCGGAATTTTCCGAATGTAATCGAGTAAAAGACCGTACGTCTCAAAACACGTACGGATGCAATCTCAAAAGTGCCACTTATTATTAAATTTTGTATAATATTTTTATATTGAAGTCAATCAAATCAATTGTTATTTTGTAATAATGATATTTTTTTAGATCATCGCTATATATATATATATATATACATTCCAAATATATATTTTGCATTGTTATATATTGCATATCACATACTATAGAGAATGAGTCAGCGTTGCAAAATGTCCACAGTCTTACATTTCCTTTTAATTAGACTTTCCTTACCATACGGAGGTCTGTTATTTGTTCTTGCTAATGTAGCCTGTAGAGCATTTACATTTCGGCAGATACTGCAGATAACAAATTTAAAAGTTAGGCTGTTAAGCGAGACAATTGTGATGGAAAAAGAAAACGTTCTGCCGCGTCTGCTGTCGTTTTATTTAATTACTTTACATTTATTTAACGTAATCATTATAGACTGAGATTACGGATACTCAATTAATAATTACTTAGTAATTAATTAATTAATTAAGTCACATTGCAATATTACACCTCGTCGCACGACTAGGTCTTCGGCTTTCTCCGCTCGCAAAGGCCAATTTTCGTTTGGCAGCTATTCCATTGAGGGGATACGGCAGTTATTCGCGATACGCGTCACATACAATAAAAAGAGGAAATGTAATAAATCTAAAGGACGGAAACGTCATGAGCGACTGAAAATTCGGCGGTCGCAGAGCGGAGAAATCTTATGAGTATGTGTTACTGCTTACTGTGTGTTAGCGCCAAGATAGTTAATTCGCTTTTCTCCATTTTTCCCAAAGTCGGAACCAAAGACGTCCCGATTTTCTTCGATTCTCATTCGTTTTACGTATCTTAATAACATCGCGCACTAAGTGCGTGGATGTGATATCGGCAAGTTTAAAGTCGAATTACTCTTCGAAGACAAGAATCAAGCTATTTTGAAGCGCGTTACAAGTCAAATTCTCCTTCCAATGCTCTTCCAGGTGTATTTTGACTATATACCGTCAATGATCACCCGTGTGTTGTGCGCGTATGCGTATGAAATAGAGAAAGAAAGAGAGAGAGAGAGAGAGAGAGAGAGAGAGACACAACCGATGATCCGCCTATATCGTGATCGAAATTCCTCTCATCGGTGAGAAAATGTAAAATATCGTTCTCTCTCGGGAACGACACATCCGACCATCCTCCCCCCCCCCCCCGCGCTTTTAACGTACCTCAGGGCTGCGTCTTATTTACAGTTAGCAATTACTTGTCCGGAAACTTAAAAATCTTGTCTCCTACAGGAATTTGTAAAAGCAAAGGACGAACAAGAAGAGACTCCAGTTCAGCGTACTACACGAGGAACGATTGAGTACCACCTCGGTGACCTTGTACTTGAACTGCTCTTTGATCTCCTCCGCGAGAAAGGATCGCTCGTGTGTCCTAATCGTCGTCGGGCCGGACTGTTCTCGAACTTCAACGGCGATCACCGCCCTCTCCTTCGTCCTGTTCTTTCCCTTCCTGATGAACTCCGAAAGCACTGACAACACACGATACGAAACGTCGTAAGAGACGCCATAAGCGTGACGAATGCGCGGTAATTATTCAAACGATCGCTCACTTGGCGGGATGAAGCGACTTACCTTGATCGATCATGACGTCGTCCGCGGAATCGACCCTGATGAACGTCGACATGGTTACCTCGAACAATTTGTTCTTGTCCGACATCTCAATGGCTCTTCTTTTTCTGCCGAAACCGATTTGGCCGTTGCTGCATTCGATCTGAAGCACGTGTACAAACATGTCTTAATAGACTCGTCGAGGAACATCAGTCGAGGCGGCATTAGCGTCCGACAGAGCGAAGCAGTAAAATAAAGGACATAACGACCAACGTGCAAATGGAGCTAAAGCCACCGGTTTAATAATCGCGCTAATGTAAGCCCGCGCGTACGCGCTAGATGCGAAAGAGTGAAGCATACCCCTTGGCATTTATCCAGGCAGACATTAACGGTACCGCGGAACTGGACGTAGGTGCTCTCCGGGAACTTGAAAGCGCGGAATTTCGCCGTCAGGAAGTCGCCGTCCACGGTGTTGAAGTTCTCGAACAAGTAAGGATCGACGGAGCACCTGTGTGTGTGTGTGTGTGCGTACACGTTGAGTGATTGCGTCGTCTATTATCAACCATGTGAAACATCAAGGTATTCCTATAATCGCGCGACCGCGACGACCGCATCGTCGTCGATCAATTACCCATTAATAATGATCGTTTCCTCCTGCGTCTTGGTGTCGGTGACCAGCATGTAAGTGACCAGCAGGCCGTAGATCGGCGCTGAATCGTTGTCCAAGAATATCTCCATCTGCAACGGCGTGCCAGGACTGACGTTCAGCTCACCGGTCACCAAGGTTCCACCCTGCCTGACACCAACGCCGAGGATCGGGACCGGCGCCGTTCCGGAAAACTCACCGCCTATATCGATCACCCTGCAGAGCAAAGATAAGCAAGTTTCTCAAAACTTGTGTGGATTCGATCTGCAACGTCTGCAGATACTGCAAGATATGCAAATATCGAAACAGGCAAATAGGCGCATCTCGTGGAGAATTTAATATTTAGAATAAATTCAGAATCAGATATGAATCCGAATTATCGAGACTATTGTCGCTTCTCTGCAGCATCGATTTTTGCGACTCGTTCTCCTCGTGGATGTCGCCTGGATTGCCGCGTGTTCGCCGAACGCGCGCGACCAAGTGCACACCGACATTGACAGAATGGTAATCCGCAAGGTCCACCGGTCGCCTACCTTTCGAAATTAAATCACCAAGCTGAGCATCTGGCCGATCGCGATGATCGAACGTGCCGAAACGAATCGCGGCTCCAAATATGCAATTCTAATCGCGCGGCAGTTTGTACACGCCGCGCCAAGCCGCAAGAACATCGCGGCAGTTATCTCCGCGGGGAGACTCGACCCGTTTTACGCTCTTATGCAAAATCGCGCGAAATTGCGCGACACGATCTACTTTATTGAAAAAAGCCGCGAATCGAATTCACCGGACTCGCGAATCAATCTCGCGAGACAGATAGATGGGTAGATGGATAGATCGATGGATGGGTAGAGAGAGAGAGAGAGAGAGAGAGGAGAGAGGAGAGAGAAGAAAAAGATAAAGCCGGTGGCCTCCGTTGGCGTTCCAATTTTATGCAGACTCATCCGCCGCTTCCGCGCCGACCTTGGACCGCAAAGGAAACGGGAGACACGCGGATCGTCCGAACGAAATCGTTCACGATGACAGACGAAATAATGAAGACGAATGTTTGTCAGAATAGGTAGACCGTGAAATTGCTGGCGGCGGAGGAGGCGGCGGCGGAGAAAGAAGCCAGGTAGAACGAGCGGGTCGTGTTCTAAAATAAAAGGCGCACGCACACGAGCGCGCTTATAGATAACAACGTATCAAGGCGTACCATTAGCTATTATTATGCTATGACTCGTATTATTTTACACAACTCGCTCTCATCCTGCTCGATGGTTCCTCTTTATTCCTTTCCTTTTTTCTCCCGTCCTTCCCCCCCCCCTCTCTCTCTCTCTCTCTCTCTCTCATCTTCCTCTCTCGTCTAGTCTCGTCTCGCCTTCTCTCTCCCTCGTTCTATATCGTTTCCTTTTCTTTTCTTTTCCCTTTCCTTTTTTATTATCTCAGACACTAGCGCGCCTCGTTAAATCGCTTTTCGACGCATGACGACCTTTCGTATACACGATACAACGGTGTAAAAACTACGTAATTATACGACTTATCTCCGCGATGGGACATGCGATTGTGTATCAGGTAAGACGGGAAGAAATTCGTTGCGAGTGTTCTAAGACTCCATCCTGTTGATCCGCTCGAAGAGTCTCTTCTTCGGGCGTCACGTCGCGATTCGCGTCGCGAATTTTCTCCGCTTTTCACAAATCCATGGCGCACGCGGCCGTCCGGAGAAAGAGCTTATCTCTCTCTCTCTCTCTCTCTCTCTCTCTCTCTCTCTCTCTCTCTCTCTCTCTCTCTCTCTCTCTCTCTCCCTCTCGAGGCGGACAAGCGCGGCGCACAATAGCCGCGGGAGTCTGTGAGATTCCACATCGACCGGCAGAAACAGTTATCGGGATCTCTTGATGGAGAGACTTTTTTATTTACGTCTCCGCGGCTCGAGTCCGAGGAAAGCTGCGGCGAGCGGTCGTCACACGCGTGATAATTCAACCATAAAGATTTCTGTGCGCGCGAAATCCGCGGAATTCGCGCGAGATCCGACGCCGCGCGGTGCGTTCGATTAACGCCAATAAATTAGCACCGCCGACGGCCGACACGGCGCGGCGCGGCGCGGCGCGGCGCGGCGCGGCGACGGCGACGGCGGTCGCGATAAAAATTCCCGCCGAGTTCTCTCGAGAGCACGTCCCCGGAGGGTACTTGAAGAATGTCGACTCGCGAAGCGACTTTCATCCGTTGGCTGCGAGTCAGGGAGGTACGTAAGATCTAGCGACAGGCCTCTTCTCCGCGCTGGCCTCTTCGTAACGCGTTAAAATCGCGCGTGCGAGCGTGCCGATGGTGGCTTTTCCACCATCTGCAAAGGAACCGTTGCCCAAGAGAATCAACGGCGCTCCGCCGCCGACGTCGCCGACGTAGCGCCGTAAAATCGACTCTCGTAATGTCACCAGCGTGTCTCGGCTATAAACAGGATGTCCCGCTATTAAATTCCTCGCGATGAACTCGCCGACGATGTCGCCCCGACTGAGAAATACCCAAAGAGCCCCCATCGTCGAAATTTCGATTCTGCACTAACCCTGGAAATTCTGTCAAACTAGATAGAAGGTAATGAAGAGCATCGTCGAGCAGATTCAGCGGGCTGTTGTTATCTCTTTGATGTTGCAAATAGTGTCACGTGTCTTCATCTCGAGATATCTTGAGATATTCCCCGTGCGTCATCAGCGACTCGTCAGATAATTTTCGACGTCACAAAACGCAGGAAGAGTCTGTCTGGATGAAAGGCCGATCGGCTCTTGCAGGTCGGATTGTATGTCGCGAGTTTTGCAACAGGCGAGTCTGCCCGCGCATATTCCACCGCTGTGCAAATAAATCAACGTCGAGCTGCTTGCAAATTATAAACCCCCGATGATTGCTCCCTCATGCTTGTCTAGCTCGCTTCTGCATGCATATTCAGGTCAGCCGAGACAATTTGCCCGCTCGAATGTAGATCGGCCGGCGCGTTCCGTAATCATCGAATTTTCCGCGCAATCTTGCGCCGTTCTCGATGAGCAGGTTCGTCTTGTTTGTTTTCGCGTCGCTCGTATTCGTTCGAGGAATTCAGAAGAGTCGTCGGCCGGTTTGACTCGTCCCCGACGGTGAATCCCGGTACTTGCGGCTAAATGGATGATCGGAAAAATGTTTCGGTACGACGCGACGGGAAATCGCCTCGTCGTGAAGCGAAGCGGCAATGAGACATTTTTATTTTCGTCCTGCGATAACTTGGCGAAGCGCGAGAATCGGGTCGATTAAATCGTCGGGGATTTATAATTTGCAAACAAGTCGACGCTGGTTTATTTTGAAGGAATTATTGCACGAAAGCTCGATTCTCTCGTGCGATAAATTCATTTTCGTAATAAATAAATAAATAAATAAATAAATGTAATAAATAAATTTTTAGTGAGCGACATGGCTTCATGTCGAGTCGGTCAATTACGACGAACTTTGCCACGTTGTAATGTTTTGACATCTGCTATTGAGGAAGGCTTTCGACACAGTTAATTATTCTATTTTACTCCAAAAATTGCGCAATATTGCGCAATTGGAAGCACTCTTCCGCCCTGATCTTATCTTCTTTCAATCGACAGTCGTAATCTTGTTGAATGAACGCAATATAACATATTTGATTGTTTATCGGATGGGTACTCCCGTGGCGGTCACTGACTACCATTTGAATTATCAACCGACAAGAGAAAAATTGGATATACAGTTTCTTCGTAAGGCAAAGATTAATTTGCGATTTGATGTTCACGTCGAAACTTTAATCGATTGCCTACGCGTGTGTGTCGCTATTTACAAAATTTAATGTTCCTTCCAGAGAATGAAGCAGTGGTACTCCGTCTTTCGCAGTCCGCATGCTCGCTACTCTGCGTTAGACTGTTCTTTTTTGCGCTTTATTTTGTAATTATTAATTATTCGTCCTTCCCCCCTCCCCCCCCGTCTGTTCTCTGTGCTGCTCAATCTACGCTCAAAGACGCTAAAGCGCGTCTTTCCCGTTAATAAGGACCGAAGAAAAAGAATTCAAGACACGATCTGTAATTACGACGACACGTGGAACTGTAACACGTGTGTATCCTCCGACACTCCGATGGAATGGAACACGATGTGTATAGCAGTGGCGTTTCATTAAACATTAGTGATCGCGAACTACCTCATGTCATCGTATCGAGATAGCGGTAATACGAGGCTCTTTCGCGAGACTCTGCAGTCTCTCCTTCGGCCGCGAACGGAAGGAGGCGTGCGTCCTCTGACAAATTACACTCCCGCCTTGCACTTAACAAATTTAATCATTGCTAGTAGAAACTCGCTCGGAAAGAAACGATGCGACCGCGGCGTATCTCTCGTGCTTTCGCGCACGGCGATACGTACATACGTGCACGTCGATATAATAAGAGCCGGATGCCATCGCAAGAAGTCGAGCTTAATAGAGACCGAGCGTCGTTGGCAGCCCCGAGAGAGACGAGGGACACTGCTTTTTGCGCGACGATTGATCCTTGCTCGTTGACCCGGCAGGACGTGATTGTCGTGTCCGCCAAAATGGCGGTTGCCGCGAGAGACTTCCGCACGGAGGAGAGTTTTTCTCTCTCACACGCACGCCGCGACTTCCGGGTAATTAAGCCCGTAGATGCAGCCGGGGATCATTTCGTACGAGTGCGAGAGAGCCCCGTCTATGACTCGCAATTAACACTGTCGGATGACTGGCGAGAAGTCGTGAAAAGCTTTACGGTCCGTGAGAATCTCGCGACCAAGCTAAATCACGAACTTTCACGCGGGGGGGTAATAGATTTGATAAATATCACGCATTATTAAGGGAGGCCCTTTTGTAGTGTCTCCCTCTCTCTCTCTCTCTCTCTCTCTCTCTCTCTCTCTTATTTGCGCTATTTGTAATCCACGGCTTCACCCGCTCGTATTCGTTACTCGCGCCGTGATAAATGACGTTTGTCGCGACGACAAAGCGAATGATTGCAATCTCGTCGTAACGAGTACTATGTGTTCCGTCCGTTATAACGCGACGAAGGTTCAGGTGCTGAGGGACTTACTCGGGTTCCTGAAATCCCGCCGGAAGAACGCTCCGCCGTACCGCCGTGTGATTGGCCGCGATGGCGATTTCTGGCTCCATGACAACTTCGGTGATTACGCATTTCACGGTGAACGTGTGCTTGCTAGAGTCAGCGGGCTCCTCCACTATTACTCGATGATAGTACATCTTTTGACCCTGCGTGGAGCGATTGTCAAAAGTGATTATTCCGATAGAACGTTGCGCGCCGCGCCGCGCATCGTGGAAATTTTAATTTAGAAGTACAACGAGATGCAACTTATGCATCGCGATGCTTAAGGGGACTGGAGGGTTACTGAAAAATCGTGCTTGTTTTTGATAATGATTTTGCGACGAACTGAATGAATGTGCAAGAATGAAAATTTTACATATATTTATATAACATATGAAAAGTAGAAAAATTTTGTTTTTAAACAAATACTCATGTAAATATACGTCCACTTAAATTTTAAACGCGTTTTTCTCGAAAATTTATTGTTCAACTTTTTGCAGTGATTTCTCCGAAACTGAGCTTCGGATCGATTTGAAATTTTGAAGCAATAATAATTTGTCATCATGTGGCTCTCAGGCGAAACATGGACAACTCCGTCAAAATATTTCATTTCGAGATATTAATTTTTTTTATTGTAAAAGAACTGAAAAATTTCAATTTTTTGCTAATAATTTTTTGCTAATAAAGCTGCCATTTTGTTAATTTTATTCGATTTTTTTTTCCTAGTGGTTCACCGAACAATGACAAGCCTCCTCAAAATTTCCAGCTAAAATTCGCTCTGATCGGACCACCGAGAGCCGAAATATTACTGCAAAAACGATGACTTGAAAAAAAAAAGGAGAGTATATTTCAGCTATATCGTATATATCGTATATTTACATCGTATATTTGTTGATAAACAAAATTTTTCTACTCTTCATATGTTGTATACCTAAAATTTTCATTCTTGCACATTTATTCAGTTTGTCACAAAATATTATGAAAAACAAGCACGATTTTTCAGCAATCTGACCCTCCAGTCCCCTTAAAGACGGTCGGGTGCTGAAACGGAGATTCTCGTGATGAAATTACGGAATTACGGAATTACGGCTTACCGTGACTTTATTGAGGACTCTCGTGATGCCGCATTGCAGCATGTCCTGCTCCAGCAACGACAGTTTGAACGTGGCCACGCCATCGCGAAACTGCGGTTTGCACGCCTCGTCTGTAAAAAGAAGATTTCGACGGAAGTCACGTCTTTTTTTTCCTCTTGTTTCTTAACTCACGAGCTTGGAGCACGAGGAAACGTGCATTTGGAGATATTCACCTGGGAAATGTTTGAACTGTTGAAGATATATCTTGGCCTGCGGACTACTCCTCACTATATCCACTTCCATCATCTGCTTGGAACATCTCACTTTGCTTTGCA